TCTGAAACCTTCAACTTTACTTAATGGAATCTCGTAACAGTCCAAACTTCCTACATATTCTTTTCCACATAGGGTAGCTGCTTTACTTCAGTACTACCTACTGAAGTGGGATACTTTCTTGAATAGTAAAAATGTTTCACAAAAGTTGCTTTTCAGTGTCTCATCAAAGGCAACATCTGTGAAGCATGAGCACTCCTTGTGCAGCCTGAGAGTATGTAACCCACGGTACAAATCTTGCAGTGCCTGTACCCTCATGCCATTTTGGTTACATCAGTTAAAGCACATGAACTGTAAGGTCAAGTGACAGAGCACAGTGCTCACCAGAGCTTATTTCTCTTGTGCCAAAGACAGGGCAACCAAGCTTGCATACTTACTGACAAGAGTAACAGAGTTGCTTCACAGAAGCTGCAGCCAGTCGGGGCTGCACAATGGAAAAACATTTTAGACTAAAATCCTACTAAGCTAAAAGTCAAGAATGCTGTAGAGGTAGCTTTAAGAATGGAAGGAAAATGGAGGAAGAAAATGCTAGGTGGAAAGATTTCAATTAATGAAAAGAACAAGTGGCAATGGGACACGAATTTCTGAAAAGGCAAGCAGAGTGTCTAAGTCTAGTGCATATTAAAAGCTCTGAAAGAAGTTTACGTCATGACTTCCTGTTTGAATCTGTGGCAATCCTCAAAATTTCAGGTTTTCACACTAGTTTCAGCCTTCAGCAATAAAGCCAGAAGGCATAAGCATCTAACAACTTTGTGCCCAATAAAGCAACTCAGCCAATAAGGAGGAAAGGAAGTGCAGCACTAATCTGACACTAAATATACACAGCTTTTCACAGGATTAGCTATTGGCTAACTAGAAATACTGCAGTCTGAGTGTCCTTTCATTATGCATCAGCTGCATATTATGCATGCATTCTTCAAACATTGATAGGTTGTGTAAAAGATTAAAGGATAGCTATCAGTAACTTTCTAGGGAATGAACATAAAAATGACTGACATACTTACTAACGTTAAAATTGCAAGTTAGTAATAATTGATTTACATGTGTGTGAACCGAGTGAGGTTATGGTTGCTCTGGGGAATTTAAGTACGAACTCAGCATTTTACACAGTGATGTAAATTATGTTAAGTATTTTTGATTCTAACCCACATTTGGTTACTCAGGTTAGTGCAAAGAAAGAGCTGCACGTGAGTAGATCTAAGATGGTGTGCATAGAGCAGAAGTCTACAACACAAGTCTTCTTACAATGTTCTCAAAGCTCCAGCTTTTGTCTGTTCACTCTCCTGGAGCATTCATCAAATAAAAGTTTAAAGACCTGCTGTGAAGTAGTCAATATATGCAATTCAACTTACTATACTACAGAAATCCACTGTCAGGTATGAGGAATCAGGTATCTTGTTAGAACAAACCAGGAAGCCAATGCAGTAATGCCATTTATAGTTATTCTACCTTATTTGAAAGGTAAGAAAAAAAAGGCATCATGTTTTTCTATGTAATTTACCTTGTACATTTAATAGCAAAGTGCCTAATTGGTTCAGTTTTGGATGCCATACTACCAATTTCCAGTATGCGCAGTGTTACTCAGTAACAGGAACACAACAACTTGAATTTACTACAAATAAGTCTTCTTATAATATGATTTGAAGACTGACTGTAGCATTACTATTCCCAGATGAGTAATAAAAGCAGATTAATTTTATCCTTCAGGCTGCAAGCTGCACCATATTTAAGATGCATGCAAAATACTGAGCTGAGAAAAGGAAGACCAAAATTAATCAATAGACTCGGACTACAACAAAGGGCAATCAGTTGGAAGTTTTTAAAAGTATAAACAAAACTTTTTAAAAATAAAATTAATCATCTGAAATCATATGCAGAGTTCTGACATGTGTCTGATTTAGGTTATCACACTGGAACAGGTGAGAGAAATGCCTGAAATCTGAAGGTCAAACTTTCTTCCACTATAAAGTCAAGAGGTGTTACAGCAGCAGCCTGCGCCATAGCCCCCTGCCCACCACCTTTTAGTAGAGAGGATTCAGCTTTAGGCCCTGGGCAGTAATAGTGGCCCTCGCTTTTGCTGTTCTCTGGTGTTCCTCACTGGTGTTCTAGGTTTGCCCTGTCCCTGGCTACTAGCCTGGCTTGCAAATACTGATGGAACAGTAGACCCTTCACTGGAACTCTGCAATGAGGATAGCTCGTGCTGTTGCCACATCTTGGTACCATCACCATCTGATGGATCGTATCACAGGATAGAATTAAAGTATCTAGCTCCTCCGGGTTCCACTGATAGAGGAACCATGCATTCAGATTGCTGACCAAAGACATGAAACAGTGTTTATCAGAAGGCCAGAATACGGACTTAGTTTGCAGTTACGTATATTCAAAATACAGGATCTGTTCATCATTTTGTTCCATCCTTCAGATGGAGAACCTACAATTCTTCTGATGTGAACTTCTGTAAAAGTGCAATACTGGAGAGAAAAAAAAAAAATGTTCAATAAGTGGAATCAACACTGATGGCCATGCCAAGACATTTAATCTTGTTTCACACGCACCCATCCCACCCCTACCTTAAACTATAACTTTTGCATTAATTTATGTCCAGTTTAAAGTTCTGCAATTACAATGTATTAGATGGTAACCATGCAGTCACCAAGAACTTTGTTCCTTTACCAGTGCCTTTTACATGTTAACCAGTTGGGAGGTTGTGGTCAGCATGTCACGTACACCATCACCCTATCTTCAGGAAGATGAATTTGCAAATTTGTAACGTTTCTTTTAGCTTTTGCAGAAGTAGAATCAAAAAGCAGCTAGCCAAAAAGCAAAGGGCATGGTCATTAATGGAGCTACACATGAAGACACTTCAGTGCAGATGTAAAAAAGTTGATTTAATTGGTCTTGACTAAATTATCCTAACGTTTAGCAGTTGAGGGCAAACATTTTTGCCTCTTCCTATTGCCATTTTATTCAGATTTTGCTGTTTCAGGAAACACTGTAAGCAAAGTTCTTTACTTAGCAGCTATGTTAATCCAAGACTTAATTATTATTTATTAGCACCAACTTACCTACATACATTTCAGACTTAACCTTACATGATCTCAAAGTCAGCCCAGTGGGTTACGCTCAAAATAAAGGATTGTGCATGAAGTCTTACTTTCCCTCCGAAGTTTTTACTTAAAAACTAGACAAATAGATATGTAACAGTAAAGGAAAAAACAGTCATTAGTAAACAAGGACTTGCAGGCTTTAAGAAACTCTGTGTAGGGAAGCATTCAGAAATGCTGTCAAGGTAGAACTTGTCTACTGCATGCAGAGTTTCTTCCTACTGTTTCTATCTACCCTAGAATGAGATACTTCATTCCTATAGTGTTTACCTAGTTTGGAAATTAAAAATTAAGCCACAACAAAGAACTCATCTGGAAGAGGAGTGCTCTTCTACATGGAATTACTCAAACTCTACTATTGCTACAATTCATATTCTCCCCAGCTGATGTTTTCTTTCAATCAAATTGAAATGCTAATAAAGATTTGTCTAGACTTAACTGTTTAGGAATCACTGGTATTACTCAGTTATCGTTGTTCTGTGCGCTAAATGAACCTCATCTTCATTCCAACCTGTTTGCATAAACTTGTACACAATTGTATGCCTTCATGACAACCGAGTTGCTCAGCCAGACATAAGACAAATGCTTGTATAGAGAAAGTTATGCAACAGCTTTCCAACAGTAATTCTACTTTTCCTCCAAAGCAGTGGTTTCTTACCTTTTAAACCTACACTGAGCACAGGAAAAAGTCAGTACAGTGCCTTATTTATTCATAATGCAAAATATCTGGCTTTCTGGGAATTCTACAAACAATTTACTTTCTCATAAGGAAAAAGCAAGCTAGTTATAGTCCTTTAATGGAAAACACCAGGTTATTGATTTTTACATTAGTTTTTAAGTGAGCTTAATGATCGGTAAAGGTGCTGGACTGATGTCCCTAGAGACTATCCTCAATCTATAGCATAGACAGCATTCCAAGATCCTCCACTATATTATAATTCTCAAGGGATTGGTCCTAAAAGGTTGAATCCACTAAGATTAGTATGAAAATACTACTTACACTTAAATAAAGAAAGGATGTATTTATTTACCAAAAGCAAGAAGGCAATAAACAATTAGGTTGTATTGCTCTACTACGGTTTTAAGCAACACCATCAGAGCTGTGTATTAGAAGGCGTATAGAAGCAGCAGCAGACAACAATGCAAAAGCGAGTGGGCATTTTGCACACAGTGTAGTATTAGGTAAAGACATTTCTTCACAATGCAGGATGAACTGAAATGAGCCAGTGAGCACAGTAGTTACATAAGCCATTTCGGTTTCAGGACCTTCTGATCTTTTTAACTAACAGAAAGTTACTACAACTATTAGAGCAAGGAAGTTTGAAGACAGAAATTTCATAGGTTGAAGGTTTTGGCAGTTTAAAACTTAAAAATCTGTTAACTGATATTAAGCAAGCATCCTTTTTCTCTTTAAGCAATCTCGGTATACTACCACGTAAAATTCATCCTCAGAACAGCAAGAACGAAAAAAAAAAAATCTACACATGGACTCTTCTGCTTGCACAAAAGCAGCTTAGTTTCTAAGTTAGCTTTAAAAGTTGTAGCAAATAAAGACATAAAGGGGCTTATTTTCATGCACACAGCTCCAAATGCAGTAAATGCAACACAGTGACATATGTTCAACTCATGAAATTAAGGAAAAAAACAAGATGGAACATAAATATTGATCTCATTTCATGTCAAATCATGTAACTACGCAATTTTTTGTTCTCTTACATCCCAGGATAAGGGCAGGACTCACGTATAAGAGTTAGTTTAACTGCATTCATTTAAAATAGCATATGTTGGCAAGATCAGGTACTGAAGCTGTAATAACTATTAGATAAGCAAAACGTGCTACAAATGAAAGATAGGACAAAAGGTGCAAGTGATCAGAGACAGTAGTGTTTTATCGCTTACCTCATGATGCAGCTCAGCTATCTGATCTTTCAGTTCTCTGATGTACTGGTTGGAATCAGATTTATTAAGCTGCCCTTGAATTTTTCCTTCTTCTTTCTGTTTTGGTTAAAAAAAGAATCTTATTCAAATTATCCACAGACATACTATATTAAAAACCTTATTTAACTGTCTGCGTATTTTTGCCATGAACAAAAGCTATTCACAGACACCATCCAGCACTGCTCATCTGGTTGAAGAAGTTACAGCAGGTATCTAGGGCTGTCAGCAGCTCAGACCAAGCTGACCCTCTCGATACCAGCCACAGTACAGGCAGGATTCTGTGGAGGAGCATGAAGAATTAACAGAACTTCACAGGTGGAATTCACATCCAACGTACATGGGGTTGCACATGCAATTTAGTAAAGCATCCCTACAGAATACTATCAATATATGGAACATATCTTAGCATACATTATTTTCACTGATGTAAAGTTTTCATTTAGTAACAAGGAATTTCCCTTTGTCTCCAAGTGACGAGTAAACAAAACACGTTCTTTCCTTGCATTGTAGGACATGCACTGGGAAACACTACATATGACAAGCTTTCTTCTCCCCTAAAAAACCAAACTTGTAACATATAAAATATTGTGGTATTTATCATATAGGAGGTCCAGAGAGCATAAGTGAAGAGAGGTACATCCCCTAGCACCAATACTGCAACAGGTACAGAGAAAAACTGGCAAGTAAAAAAAGCCAGAGATGAAGAGGAACGTGAGATTTCCCTCATTTGTCAACCAAACGCAGCTCCTAATGTTCAAGATGCTCAAGAAGGTGTCATCCACACTTGAATGCCTGCAACACTAACTTTCAGCTTGTCTCTAAAGGGAATCCTAATGCGACTGAACCAAACTTGGCCAATCTGAGATAAATAACCACCCTTGATGGAGAAGGCAGCCCACGTCTTCAATTTGCTACTAGTAAGTCAAGAGCAGAGTTGTTTTGATTTTTTTTCCCCCCCAGCTGAGTAATTTCTGAAGCAGACATCAGCTTTAGAGATTAGAAGCACCTTCATTTTATATAAATCTTTACCTTGATTGTAACTCACATACAACCCATATATATCAGAAATACAAATATAATTGGAATATCTGTTTTTTCTACCAGTAGCTCATTTTGCTGAAGTTTTAATTATACTTGAAGAAAGCACACAGTTAATTTCAACAACAGGCAAGTTCAAAGTCATTTGCAAACAGAATTTAAATACCTTTTAGAATGAAAGACGTCAACTGTTCTTCAAAAAACAAGACAAAAAGCTTTAACAGAGAGGTTCTTTTAAAACATCCCTCTGAAATATCAACAGCAGGACAGCTCATGTACCAGGGGATGGACAATATACGACCTTCCAACCCCTTCTGCTGCATTAAGAGAACAACCTCGAGCACTGTCACTGTTGGCAATCTCAAAGCAATTTCTCTAATTTCAGCCTTTGTTTTTCTTGCAGCAAGGTATGCATTACAATATTACTTGAGAAATAACTTTGTCATGTTCACTATTAATTCACAGAATTTGCAACATGGAGGGACAAGATCCTTTAATGCATAATTCGATACTGAACCTAGTCTCCAAAGCAACCTATTGCTCAAATTCACAAAAAAAATATTAATAGTAACAACATTACTAATTGTTCCTGTCCTAAATAGGTTAAAAAAACCCAAACCACAAACCCATCATCTCTCTTTACAAGGATGACTATTGGTATTGGAGAACCCAAACCAGAAGCAACATAACCAGCAGACCAAAAATAATGCTGTTTACGTCTGTATATAGAAAAAGCTTCATTGCTGTCAGAAACTGAGATTCCCGACAATGAGAACGACCCGATCTCTTGTGGCAGCAGGGATATAGGGGAGAAATGCTTGTCTAAGTCCTTTCCCTCTGTTTGAAACCCTGACTTTTCCATTTAAGCCTCTTGTTCTATGGACTCCAGATTACTATGTAACCATACGCTATAGCATCAAAAAGCAAGAGTAAAGCAAGGTTTTACCACAAATGGAAGATAGGTGCTATAGCCCTTTTAAAATGAAAGTGTAATAAATAGTTGAGTTTACATTCAATCAGGATGCACAAGAGGACATGAAACAGGCATTCCCAAGTTACGTCGGTATAAACTAACAGCAGAAGCAATAATGTATACTAGCTTAGGTTTGGCACTGCACAAATAGCTGAAAGCTGTTAGTGTATACCATATGGAGTATACCATATTGGAAGTTAAACACTGTCATTATACTTAAGTGTTTTTATTGTTACTTTTTATTCCATAAATTTACAGTGTAAAGTTAATGCAGATATCACAGAATAATTTGAAACATAAATTTGCTCATGGAAGAACTGACTCTAGCTCCTATCACTTGGAGCTGAATGTAGGTGTAAGCCTGGCTTGCAAGATCCTCATTATTAGTGAAGGGCAAATAAGTTTCAGTTTTCCTTTCAGAACTTACAGATTTTGTAAAGCTGGCAATTCACAAAAATGCTTTTAACACAAAAAAGGAACCCTGCAATATCATTTTCTACAAGCATACTTTTCAAAGAAAAGTCATGCTGTAACTTCCTCTTGCAACATTCAAAACACTAGAGGTCAGAAGCTGATCCTTTTAACTGGCTGCAACAGAAATCAGATATTTCTAGCTAACTACAAAGCCCATGTTCTATGAACTACAAAGTCTGTCTACAGTGGCTAAATTGGAAGGATGACATAGAAGTTTTAGGACAAGGTATCAGATTCTGTTTCATAGCTGCTGCTCATCTCTCTGAGCAACAGCAAAGATACATTCTACTTTTTTTTAAAATAAGCTAAATTGCTCATGCCATTAATTTAGTTATTTAAAAGACACCCGTGCAGTTGCAGTAGCAAACCACTGGAAAACATGCAAGGTTCAGACACTATAGCATCAAAATATTTTTTAATTCTTACCAAAATCATCTAATTTGGAGAATAAATAAGTAGACAGCTAAAAGTTTACATATTTCAAATGAACCAAAACATTTATTTTATAAGAGTAGTTTTATCTGTCAGATTATGATCTTTAAGCTACCCAACATTCTTTAAAACTGTGAGAAGAGATTGGTATTTCTCATCAATACATATATTTTCATACAAGTATAAAATATTACTATGATCTGCAAAATTATTTCACTTTACAGTCACATTTCATATCTGCATTAAGATCAGATTACTTTCTAGCAATTTCCAGCTTATGATGAGCATTTGTTAATCAAAGGCAAACTTTAATGTGAGCAACTCAAATTTGGTGGCAGTATTCTTTAACACTAGTTTTTCATTAGGGCAGCCTGACATAAGTCAAAAAGAAAAATTATTGGCAGGAAAAACTTCAATATGGCAGTTCCTTTTAACATGACAGAAAGCATTATCTTTGCTTTCCTTACTATCTGTTGGTATCTGTCACAAAGACAGAATACTTTCTCCCCAAAATTCTGTTGTTCTAGATTTGCTACTCAACCTACCCTAGATTATACAACACCTTATCTATTACTTCCCGATTATCATAAAAACCTATTTCTTACTGTTTTTATCAAGTGATCTTAATATCACCCTAGATTCTCTTTTAAGAATCTCAGATGCATCCTGAGATACTGAAAACCTCCACCACTGCAAAACAGACCCTATATTCTGCTCCCATGCAGGTTAGATTCCCAGTTGCACATCCTAATTCCAGATGACATTAGATCAGTGCCAAAGCACAGCTATATACCACTGTGATTGGTGAAAGCCCCAGAGACAGCAAGCACACTCATGCTCCAAACATTTATCAACACACATGGAAACTGTACAAAGGATTTTATGTCCATGTTTCATTTAGTAGCTTAATTAAGAAAGCTTGAGCAGCTTCAGCTTGAATTTTTCAGTTTCAAATATAATACCATCTTATATAGATATAATTTCTAACTCTTGAGACTGATCTAGTCATGATGCAACTGAGATTGATATCAGAGTTACCATTTGTTCTTAGTTCAGAATCTGAATTAAACTTGGCTGAGAAATAGAGGGACAGGGAATTAGGTAGGTAGCAAGCGACATGAAAGTGGGACAAACTGGGAAGTGAAGACAAAACAGGTACTGAATGGAACTGAAACAAAAGGTAAGGACCTTAGACAGTAACACGGATGGATTCTTGCAGATTTCATCTTCAGCCCACTATCTGCAGGATATGGCTGTTGCACTTATTTCATTAGTTGATGTACCGCAGGGCAACTGAAGATAATAATCTTCCAGGAATAACTACTAGCCCTCTATCATTCATTTGCTGCTCTGGAGATGCATGTTTCCCATTCTTCCTGTTCTACTGCTGCCACACTTCATTTTGCTTCCAGGTATCATAACCCTCTAAATAACAGATTAATTAATTTCTCCTCCTAAAGGTCCAACAGTAAACGTTGAAAAGGTTTCTAGGCTCAGGCAGGAAGAAATCAGTCTTGTATGGATTAAGTCTTGTCTGGCCTCAGCCACCTCAGTCTAAGACCCAGCTATGGCAGATGGAAGCTCAACTACTGAGATCGAAGGATAACTTGAGTTGGGGAACAGAGAGCTACAAATTAATCTCAACGCTCTTAAACAGTAAGGGTGCTCAAGGGCAAAGGACATAAAACCTATCTTCTGTAAAACCACCAAGGAAAAGAGGGAGCTGACTGTCCTGCTGCAGGCCCTTCTATATTCTGAATCTGGCTTTAACTTTCAATTTTTTAAAATACCTAAGGGTGTCTGTTCCCACTAAATTACATTTCCACATGCTCTGGCTGCAAACTGGTCCGGCTTCCTCACAATAGAATAAAATAGGGTATTTCAGTTGGAAGGGACCTACAGTGATCATCTAGTCCAACCGCCTGACCAAGTTAAAGTATGTCATTAAGGGCATTGCCTAAATGCTTTTTAAACACTGACAGGCTTAGGGCATCGACCACCTCTCTGGGAAGCCTGTTCCAGTGTTTGACCACCCCCTCGGTAAAGAAATGCTTCCTAATGTCCAGTCTAAACCTCCCCTGGAGCAGCTTCAAACCATTCCCACATGTTCTATCGTTGGATACCAGGGAGAAGAGATCAG